AACAGTTATTGACATATTCCAGTCTGGACCAAAGTGGTGAACCCACTGACCAACACTGCCATCCACAGAGCTACACCGCTAGCAAGGCTCAAACTAAATAACAAACACTGGAAACTTATGTTTTGCTTCTAACCAAGCAAACATGTTATAAAATACATAGAACTCACCATCAGGCTAAGGGCAACACACTGTATTTCAGAAGGTGATTAAGAATCAAAAAGCTGAAAAAAAGGCATCGAGTAGAGAACAGCATGTGAAGTCTGAGACTGAGCAGAGGAGAAGACGTTCAGGTTCTGCCACTCAGTAGTACAAATGCAGAATTGACAGATACCACCGGGTCCACTGGATAAAAACAAGCCACAGTACCAGATTATTTTCCTCATATTGCATTTGATATAACACATTGTCGTTTGTATGCAAAAAAGCAGCGTGGTTCACAGGTAGACCCTGGGCTTTATACTTAGTAAGATCCTATTTGTCAAAGTTCAGGTATAATTGGTAGCACTTGACAGTCCCACCAACTGTCAAGGAAACAAGAAAGTAGTATTCATTTTGCACCCACTGTTCCAGCATTCAGCCATAATCCTCTGCTGGCTTAATCAGTCAGCCTGCTCTAGTGTGAGAATGAAAGTTCACACTGAAACACAAGGTTTTGTGTTAAATCCATGGACGAGTCTCTGCCTCTTACCCTTAGGTCAGGAGGTGACACCTCAAAGAGTGCCTTAAATCATGAGAACTGCTTTACCTTTCAGTGGAGCTGGAGAGACGCACCTACACTAAGTCAGTAAAGTCTGTGGATTTACTGGGATCTGAACACTTTCCCTGTATTGCATATCAATCAGCCATTATTTGGTTGGACTTGGTGGGTTCATGTGAGCCTGCCAGATTGTGGCAAGAGGGTAAGTGATGGTTGGGATGGGGAGGGAGGCAAAGGGCAACAAGCAGCACTGCTAAAACCTTCTGGTAGTGGACAATATACACTGTGAATAAAACAAAGAGCGCACACCTCTGATATCATGTTTGAGATTTAGGTATTAACAATAATCCTCTTATACTCACAGTTACAATCAATAAGTTCAAACTATTTGAAGTCAGTGCTATTTACTGTCATGTTCCTTGGCAGACAAACAGAGGAAAGGTCTGATTTCATTTTCCAGCCTTTAAAATTACAAACTGGCAAGTAGCCAAAACACAGAGCTTCATGAGCTCCAGCGACAACTGCCATGAAAATAACTCACTATCATGAAGACAATAAAACCTGTGTACAAACAATATATGTCACATATTGTATATTTATAATATAATTAAGAAGTCCTTCCAGCTCTTACAGGTTCCCTGTGAATGCCTCTTGGTGCTCAGACGCCCAAGGAGAGGAGATCCAAACTGCAGCCTGTGGGGATACAGACATCAACAACATCACCACAGTGACTGTTTCCTGAAAGAGGAAACTGAACTGAACTGTTTTTGGTGCTGGTATCAACCCTTTGTCTCTTTCTGCAAGTGTGGGGGTGTGTGTATGACATAATATACAGACAGATTTCTTTATGAGCATCGTAAGTGTAACTTAGTAACAGACACTAGAGCTCTAATGGATCTCGGTTCTGAAAGGATGCCCTCTTGGCAAAGCACAGCAATTCAAAGAAATGTTCTCAGGGTATATGTCCAGCGTGGGAGCTTGATTTTGCATCATTTTATGATAGAGTTTTGGAAAGTCTGCTTTCACATCTAATGAACTGCAGTAATGATCAGCACTAGAGTGCCACCCTGCGTTTTGTCAGGCTGAACCTAGGCCTTATCACTGGCAGTTTAACAACTGTTCACACCATTGCTCACATGCCCTGTATTAATTAATTAATCTCTACCAGACTGTAGTGGAGTTTTGGGTCTTTCTGTGGTAATGTGCGGCGTGTCACTGTGCCCACTGAGGCTCCATGGGTGCAGAAGGCTCTTGTGTGAATGACGAACCGGTTTTAGGTATTATAAGTTACTCACCACCTTTACACTGTGGACGGCAGCTCTCATTTGATGAATGATACTGAGGAAACAGGTAACTAATAACAGGTGTACATCATTCCAGCTACAGTCTGTAGTCCATGTACTCATTTCAAAATATCTCATAAAAGAAAAAAACGTGCTGCTGTATTTCACCTTGACAAGCTCAAACTATGCCTCTGACAGTCTGCTATTAGTCACTGCACCGTGTAATTATCTTGAGATTCAAGCAAGCTATGGCTTCTCACTACTTTGCTGAGTGTGATGGTTTGATCCAGTCTCTCAGCAATATCATGTTCTTCATCTGAAAAGAAATTTCCCCAGAAAACAACAGCTACAGTAATTCTGCCAGAAATCACTGCATCTCGTAACTTTTTTAATTTTTTACTGGGTTTAAATGTTCAAGATGCACAAAGCTACCACAGGAGGATATAGTTTATTCTTCTGCAGAAAAAGCCTGGAAATCCAAATAAATAAATAAAAATAAAAAGGATGTGAATGCGAATGGATGTTATAATTTGCAGTCACCACATGTAATATTGTGAACTTTAAATTTATTTATAGCAGTTTAGCCTAAAATAATTAATGTTAGTTAGTAAATTAACTATCAGACAAAATAAAAGGCTGGAGTGCAACAGAGGAAACAAACGCGGACCATGTTACACCAATCAGCCATAACATTCTGACCACTGAGAGGTGAAGTGATTAACACTGACCATCTGTTACAGTGACCTGTCAGTGTGTGGGGTATATTAGGCAGCAAGTGAACAGTCAGTCCTCAAAGTTGATGTGTTGGAAGCAGGAAAAATGGACAAGGGTCAGGATCTGAGTGACTTTGACAAGGATCAAACTGTGATGGTGAGATGACTGGGTCAGAGCATCTCCTACACTGCAGGTCTTGGTGGGTGTTGTTGGTCTGCAGTGGTTAGTACCTACCAACAGTGTCTAAGGAAGGACAAATGGTGAACTGGAGACAGGGTCATGGACGCCCACGGCTCACTGATGATGAGGTTGATCTACTGTAGATTAAACTTTTAAATTTCATTCATGCTTTTCAAAAGATTAAAATGTATTTGAATCTTTGTTAAAATGGTTGAAAATGAGAAACACTGTCCATTGGTCTCTATGAAGAGAAACAGAAGCTGCACAGTGAACTGCAGAGTGACATGGGTACCAGCCACCTGCCGTGTACACAGTATTAGACAGGTGGTCATAAGGTTATGGCTGATCAGTGTAAATCAGCCTGAAGGATGTTTGTATACAACAGAGTGACCACCAGAGATACGATTTTCACTTTATACAATTGCAGTTGTTTTAGGAACTCTACAGTATGGATAATGGCACTTAGTGTTTACAGTTCATTGATCAATGAGTCAGGCAACATTCAAACCCTCTGCATCAGTCAGTAATAAAGGCACATTAATAGAGGACGTGTGCTGCCGTCTGTAGCTCTGTTAGAGTCTGTTACAGGTATGCTGCATTAGTTCTCCACACTGCAGTTTCTCTTTCCTCTATACAGTACAGAATTAGAAAACGTTCTCATCTTTGTAATATATTTATAGATATAAAACAGCCATAAGGATGACTGGAGCCGGTACTTGGATGCTCAAAGCCAGTTGCAGAATAAGAAAAGACATTAATAATGGTTGCATACAATGTGCACACTGGGATGACTTGGATTTGTGTCAGAGCGATCTAAGTTCTGCTAGGAGCAACAGTGACTCAGTGATTACATCACTGCCTTTAGCCATCTCAAGGACGCACAAAATCAATGCTCCTGATGCAAATGCACAGTGGGAATTCACTTTAAAGCTAATAACATTAAACTCAGAGCACAGCGATGTCGGCCCACATTGTAATGCTATGAAAATCTGACCATATGACAGCTTCATTTAAGTTGGAGTGCATGAGATTATGTATGATAGTGGCCCATTTTGCTCCCTCGTGCTTGTCTCTACTTCCCGATAAATAATTCAGGCCATAATTCTGCGTATAAGAAGACCCCCCCACCCCACCACCATCACCACCATGCACGCACGCAGTATCGCCTGCAGCATGTTTAGGAAAAAATGACTAGGAAACGTCCACGTTGCTGGCATGCCAAAATGCTCAGGTTCCTAGCAGAGGAATAAGGGGCTGAATATGTGCTTTACAGTTCACCGTTCATGTCAGAGGCTGGAGCGCAACAAGCAGATAACAGCACAACTGTATTCACTGTCAGAATGGCTTCTTCGTTTGCTTGTTTGTCTCGGAAGTGTGGAAAAAAAAAAAAGGACGGGTCTCGACCACAGGGATCATGTCCTCCTGCATTCTGCAGGAAGGAAACGAGCTGCTCTGTGACTTACTGCTGATTTGCAGCACACAAGTGAAGATGACAAATGGAAAGGATTAAATCAAGCAAGCCTTGGAAAGGCTACAGTACCAAGTCTTTCGGGAGGTCTTTAAATTATTCTCCATCAAGCTGATCCCAGCAGCAAGCATACTTCATACCTGAGTGCATTTGCTGATCATGGGCACACACACGCACACACACAAAAAAGAACGAGGAGACAGCACACTGTATCTCTGTGTAATTAAACTGTTGTCCCAGATGTACACTCTAAAAGAGTGTAGGATTTCTATTAAGCAGGTGATTTCAGTTTATCTAAGGAGTGGCTGGGGAGTTGCAGCACGAGACAGGAGAAAATGAATCGAGGCATTTGCAGCCACTGAAGGGCTTGTAAATGACTCTTGGAGAGCGTGTAGCCCTGGGTTATACTTGTTCTCTTTCATCTGCAGGTACGCTGCTCAGGAGGTCACCAGAAGGTATCTGGGGAACATGAAGAGCAGACAGAAAGAAGGAGCTCATTACCTGAGCAATCCACAGGACCAGGAGCCAAAGGGCAAGTGTTAACCAGCGGCAGGGGAATGGAGCTTAACCTGAATCAGAAAGATGGGCAATTTGAATATTTCAACATGAAATCCAACAAAAGACAACAAAACTGAAAGAGAACTAGGACAAACAGATGTGACGCTGTTGCAAAAGCCTTTATTGAAGAAGAAAAAACAACAGTTGACTACATGTCCCCTTCCAAAGATCAAAAACATATGAGATGCTTGAAGACGTGCGGTCACGATCTTTAAGGTGAGTTTCACACACAACACCATTACACACTCTGCTGCTGCAGCCTTAATTAAGCACTCTACATGATGGAAACATTTACTGTGTGGATTCAGACTTGGCCCCAAAATAGGGATCCTCTTTATTTACTTTTGTAAAGACAAGTAAACAGGGCAGAATCTTTGAGCACGGCACAGCAAAATATGAAACACACAGCAACAGCAGAGTGATTCAATACTGCTCAGCCAAAGGCACTTTTACAAACATGGGTAGAACACAGTAGACAACACAAACAAGAAATTAAATGGTCTTTTGTTTAAAATTGTACCATCAAGCTTTTTGAGAAGGTTCATGTCAGACATGCTCCCATAGAGATGTGTGTCACAGACTCTCCACCAAAACGGGAAACATGAGACTTAAATACAGCTTTTATCATCGACAACCTTCATCAGAGATTAACCTCTGTGCTCATGGACCAGACCGGGGTACATCTTGTAGAAAGTGTGCTAATAAGCCAATCACAAAATACTGAAAGACTTATTTTAACATCTTTAAAAGCAGCAAAAAACATTCATCAGTATTAGCAGAATGCTTTTACTGTTTCCTGACCATTTTACAAGACCTGCTACCTTCTGATCTAACTGCATTAAATGTTTTATCTTTTAGGCCAATTAGTGGCAGTACAATGACATGTGTGGGTGTGTATTAGCAAACATTTGCTCATTTACATATGTCATGTTTCTGGCCACCTTGTGAGCTTAAGTCAAACTTTCATTCTTCTTCTTTTTCCTGTTTTCATCTTTTAAAACTCCACCTAGAAAACTTCCGGTTGTTTCCCTGCTAAGTGTTTTGCTACGCTAACAAGCTAGTTAGCTAGTAGCCTTGTTTGCCTGCTATTTGGCGCTAAGTGCATAGTATTCAGTGGATTTATCAGAATTCACCAAAATAGCTAGTTTTTCTAAGTGAAAAGACAATAATTACATTGGTGACAATGGATCAAAACAATAAGCTGGAGGAGGCTAAAGCAAAGGCATTGAGCTGAGTGGTACTGCAAAGTCTAAGGATAATTCTTTGTGGGACCATCACTAGTCAGGATCCCATTCACATTACACTTTAATACACTGCTATTATAAAAAATGTTGATTAGTGCAGCTTTACATAACCTCACATTCTATATAATGATTTAAAAATGTTAAAAGTTGTAGCACAGTGCTGCTGTTTTTCGTGAAATGCATTAAATTCCCTTTACTGAACTGACACATCACAGCTCCTTCTGGTCTATGTCTCACCAATATGTGCTGAAAACAGCATTTCTAATCTATGGCTGTATTACATATTATGCACATACTGTATAAATGAATGTCAACAACTAGCTCAGACCTGATTGACAGCAGTCAACAGTCAGAGGCCACTGTTCATCTCAGAAAACAAATTTTACTGTACATTTTTTATGAAGTCTGAATGTTTCCTCACACCGTCACTAATACACAACCCTAGAATGATGCCTTAAAGCATAGCAAATGTTGGTATTAATTATTGCTACAGTATTGAAATATGTTTTTCTGGAAGGAGATGTAAAGAATGGCTTCAGTTTACTTGCTAACATAAGAGCTAGTAAGCTAGTCAATCACCTATGAAAAATACATTAATTCAAATTGCAAATAAGCATCACTTTACTACAGTAGTTCTGATATGGTTTTTAAATTCAGTCAAAGCCTAATTATTTTAAATCTCTGGTTCTTTTGTCACTTTGAACTCTTGGTATTGTCATCACCCAGTGTAAAATTCTAGTTAAACTTTGTGCTCCACGGTCTTATTATTCAAGCAAGTGAGAAGGCCCAGTGTTGACCTTTAACTTTAACATAGCCAATTCCGAAACAACATCTCTGTGAGCTGAAACCTAGCAACATGTGACATGATGATATCTCATGATATATTTTTGCCCTCAATTGCCTAACAACCTGAGGTAATCAGATGACTCACTGAGTCAGGTGTCAAACTCATTGGTGCATGGACCTAATGTAGCTGGTGCAATAAGGTCTCTGTTTCTTCTTCCAGGGTAGAAGAATAAATGCTTTCTGTAAAAAAAGAGAAGCACAGACCTAGACTGCTAATAAAATTATAAAAGATGCTATGAACAGAGTTTAAAAGTAGCTTGAGTTTTGTGACGCTCTTTCTCAAGTAGCGCATTCGTCTGATATGATTCCTTGTCTTGCTATGTCTTTTCATATGTGACCGATGAACTGTTGGTCTAAATATATGCTCCAAATATTGATGGAAAAAATCCTGAGGACATGGAGTTTAGGTTGCCTAACCTTCTAGAAGACCAGGCTTCACTTGCTTCCTGCTTGAGGCATCAGACTGGTGCTGTCTGTACATATATCTGCTAACTATCCAACCAGTGTGTCACTTTCTCACCTTCAGCTCAAACACTGGCATATGTGCTGAGTTTTACTGGGTTTTAGGGAATATTAAATACTCCTTTTTCTTTATTCTTATTTAGTAAATGTGTCCTAGCAAAGGGTCTGATTAAAGTGAAATTCCTATTTATGGTTAATTTATTATTGGGCTTATTAGCACAGTTATTTACAATGTGTTACCCTGGTTCAATCACTGCCACGGTCAACTTGATCCGATGACCCTGCTGTAACCAGAGGTTTGTATAATTACTTTCTGACATCCAAACAGCACTTAACCCCACCTCTTAATGTGTGATGGAAACAGTAAAGACAGGTAGCGGGTACAAGGGAACTCTCTGAAAACAACAAACAAAACATTTGTAATCGGGGCCTTGGAGGTCCTCTGTCTTTCAACATGTGGTTGACTGTAAACTAATCCAACTAATAAACTTGCAAATTAGTATTTGTTTATTCTTTAAAGGTATCATGTGGAGTTTTATTGTAACTATATTAAGGCTCTGTTTACTTTCAGTGTGGAAGTGCTGTACACAGACAACTTGCATGCACATTTCGACACAGAAAACATGAACCGGCCTTGAATCTGGCAGGGGAGACACCAGGGGTGAGCAACGACACTCCTGGGAGTGGGGGAGAGATGGGCTGTGCCACACTCTTGAGTACGAGTCCATGCAGGTCCAAACAAAATGGGGACCTTTTCACAAACGCTGTAACGCTACTAGAGGTCAAACACTCCACAGGGTACCTTTAACTCATCATCACGTCTTACTACTAGCACTGCTAATTACACTGAACTATAATAAAGCAGTCAGATGACTGGTCAGTGACTCTGGGCTGGAACAAATAACAAAACTGTCGTCATTGTTGGAACAGTTATGGTCCGCTTTTTGTTCAGCGGTTTCAACAAACAGTAAAAGATGAGGGTCGCTGGTACAATCAGTACTGACATACAGCACAGTGACACACACAGTCACACAGTGCCAACAGCAGAGTTTTGATTAAAGGATTACTATAAGGACACTTACGTTTGAATCTGTACAGGTAAAATATTTCCTTTTTCATAAAATTTCTTATAAAGTGTCGATGCAATTAACATTAAGAATTGCATAGCTATGTCATATTTTTGTTTACTGTACAATCACTGATCTAATCCACGGCAGTGTAACTGAGTTATCAGCTCAAAGACTCATTTGTATGAGTGGAATGTCATGATTGTATGTCTCAGGCTAAAAGAAAATAATCTATTGTGTATATCAAAGCGAAACTCTTTTGGAAAGTACAAAGAAAAGATCGTGTTAAAAGAGAAATTGCATTCAGCAGTTGCCTGTCGGCAATTCTGTTCCTGACACTGAGATTTACTGTTTGAGATTCCTGTGGTCCCAGCAAATACACTTGTAGGTAATGTTTAATGTAGCTGCATACAAAATAAGTACACAGGATACATGGCAGTTTAAATTCAGTTCTTTGGTGTTCTGCAGTAATGAGCCTCAGTGTAATTTTATCCCTATTTGTGTACCGACTGTGGATTTGCAGAGTAATAAAGACTGAAGAACAAAATGAATGTTCTAAACATACATATTGCATTGCTCATGGTTTTCCTCATGCGTGGTGCAGTCTATCTCCATTTTAGATCAGAAGAACCAGTCAGTGAGGAAAATGAGGGCTTGCATGGAAACATACACGCATGGATGCACATCCTGGCTGAAACAAGCAAGGTAAAGATAAGTATGATATGAGACAATAACACTGAGTGATGTTGCATGTTGTAACTGTTAACTGAGGGACTTGGACTGATTTTAAGCAACAGTTTGACATTTTGGGAAATACTGATGGAAAGACCGATATAGTACCACTTACATCTGGACAGCAGCCAGTTATCTTGGGTTAGTATACAGACTGGAAACTAGGAGGGACACAGGTAGTGACACAGCTACTAACTGACACTTATATCTCATTAGTCTAATCTGTAGAAAATGCACAATTTTTATGGCAAGAATAGCGTATTACCCATACACATATATATATAGCTGACTTGTGGATTTTTACACTCCAATTTCTTTGGACAGAGCCAGGCTACATGTTTCACCATTTCAAAGTTTATGCTAAGATAAGCTAACCAACTGTCGGCCGTATCACTGTGTTTAGCGTACATGTGGCAGCAATCTTCGCATCTCACTCATGGCAAGACAGACTTAAAGTATATCTCCCAAACTGTCGAACTACTCCTTTAACAACTGCATAGCTAATAACACACAGCCTCTTCTGCTGTAATTGTACTGAGTCAATAGATGCATGTGTGCAGGTGAACATGTGATGCTATTTCTTATTATATACAGTACGTTATATATTGGGATATACATGTATATATGCTGAGGAATGCAAGCTTCTGTGTATGGATGGGTACACTATGTTTGCATGAGAAAGAAGAGAGAGGGAGAGACACAGAGTGAGCGAGTGTTGGGTTATCACAGTGGAGGTGACCAGGCAGCAAGCTGTTCAGAGGTCAGTGGTGGCCTTGGCAGTGAGGGCCTGGATGCGGTTGCTGTTACAGTTCTTGCAGAGGACGTGTCCGTCCAGAGGGTAGCAGCCCTGGTTATCACCCTCTGAGAGCAGACAGCCACAGTCCTGCATGACACAGATACTCTGTTAGTACACAAACGCAAACTGAATCATTAGCTACACTCACCAATCACACATTTGCTGTCCTCACCTCCTAAAGGAGGCATTTACTAATGTTTAAAGAGCCCACAGCGCTTTTTCTTGTTTGACTTATCTACAATGTTACAACAGTGAATTATCATCTTAGACATGACCTAAAGCTCAAAAAATGAGCTGTATGTATGTTCTAATACTTCTACACAGAAGCAACTCGGTTTATACACGTCTTGCAAACTCTTGATCGCAAGATGTTTTTCTAACAAAATTAAGTATTATAGGACAGTTTAAGGATTTCCTCAAATGGTCATAATCTCCAGGCAGTGTTCATGTGAGCTTGCCTGACATCCACTGGTGCCATTATAACAGATGAATTTGATGTGTTGCTGGTTAAAGAGCGGATTAACGACCCATGATGTTATTGTTGGAGCTACGCTACCTGTTGGAATTCATTTCACTACTATGAGACTGTACGTGGTCGTGTGGGAGAAGACGCAGCGACCACCGGTTGGATTTACCGACCTTGGAGCTACTTGAAAGGGACTGATGTTTCCACTACTCAGTGGGACTTAACGGTAAGTTTAAAAAAAACAGGTTGCATGTCTGTTAATGCATTGTTTCTGTAACGTTACAGAGAATTGTTGTAAGACTGGAGAAGTCACTATGTCTGCGTTATGCCAGTTAAAATATGGGGTTTCTCAATTACCTGCTTTGTTTAGTGTTACACATCTCTTTTCATTGGTACATATACTGTTGTTTACCCAACTATGGAGGATAAACTCAAATTAATTAATGCCATTGAGGTTCGTTGTGCTGTCCACTTTCGACACAACACCGGCAGCAGGAGTTGTGCACATTCACAAACTATCCTCTCGTTTTTAGGAAGACGCTCTCTGGTTTTATCATTCTGAGATAATTACAGACTATTTGGAGTTATGATGGATGCCAAGCTAATCTAGAGGTACCCAAGATTAAACATTTGCCAAATATCAATGGTAAGTCAAATGCTGAGTCACAAACTGAGTAGTGCTGGAAATGTGGCTTGTGCACCCTCAAATGTTTTGGCAGGGAGGCATTTCCATACTCCAAAGTCTATATTTTACAGGGTAATAACCACACAAACCATGTGGATACTTTCGCAACCACACATACACACACGCACACACACACACACAGTCAGAATAACAACTCCATCTGCTCATGGCTCCCTGGTGACCAAAGTCTTGTCTTGTTGAGCACCTTCAGCTGAACTAATCTGCTTTGCTTTCCTTTGACCTTTATGTCTGCCAGACACTCCGTGTACTCACATTGGCACAGCTCTTTGACAATATGACACGTTACTTCTATTTTAGCTGGGCAAGTATTGTCTGAGCTCAGCTCATCAGCCGGTGAGCACTGGCTGACAGGCTGGTTACTATGTAAGTCTGTGAACTTTGCAGTAGGGAGATGGACAGTTATTCTGAGGCAAGCACATGTCTCACTGAAAAGGTGACATGTGGGACAGGTAGGTACGTTATGCATTATGCCTTCACGCTGTAATGACCGTCACCTGGAGTTTTACAGCATAGTACATACTGGAACCACTACTGCTAATTATAGAGAGCCCATATACCTAAAGAGATAAACACACAGTGCATATACTGTACCTCACAGCGGTAACACTGCACATGGAAGTCACGGTCCAGGGCCACAATACGGACGGTCTCCTCCTGGCCCGGTGCTGGCATTATAGGCTCAGAGCACACACAGCAGCGCGGAGCGAACTTCCTGTGAAAGTGAACCAACAACAACAGAAATGAGCTGGAACAATGGCAAGTATTGTGACATAATTTGACCTAAAGTGACACATTTTGGATCAAATGCATTTTGTGAGAGGTTTACTGATCTACCCTTAGTCACTATTTTGGATAGTGAGACATTTTGAGATAATACACCCAAGCAGTTCTGTAACTAATGATCATTATATTTTTTATTGTGTCCATTACTTTCTAGGCTAAATAATTAAACATTTGGTGACTAAAATGTCTAAAAATGGTGAAACGTTCCCGTAAAAGCCTTAGGTGATGTATTCAAGTTGTTTGACAAGTCGGGCAAAGCCAAAAGATATTAAATTACGACAGAAAAAGCAGCAAATCATTACAACTGAGAAACTGGAATAAGAGCTGTATCGTTTTTGTACTGCATCCTGTATGTCTACTGGTCATAAGTTCAACCGAAAAGTGGATTTTCCCTTGTTTTTAAAATAATTTTTAAAATTAAAAAAGATTAAATTATCACAGAAAAACAAACAACAAGAACAAAAAAATTTTAAAGTCTGAAAAAATGAACAAACTTGGTTGTTTTCAGCTTGTATATTCAACACCTCAGGACCCCTTGGATTTATCTTACGACTGATGTGAGGTCCCCAACCCCTAGTTTGGTAACCACTGGTGTAATAAATTTATTACGCAAAAAAAAAAAAGGATATATTACAAAGAACAATTATGGTAACACATTATGAAACAATCACTTAGACAAGGGAAAAGGCACTGCTTGTACATTGTTCCTTTAATTATTCAATAACTCAACTATTGAGGAGACAGTAAAAGCCAAACTTTCCCTTGTCCAAAATATTAATATAGACTACTTAAGGAACAGTTAAATATAGCCGGGTTTTTACATAGATCATAAGGGACTCTCACAGAAACTTTAACAGAACAAGGCTTGAAACCAGTAACTCTGGAAATGCCTTCAGCAGGTTTTTCTAACTATAGGATCAATGAGGATATGAAAAGCACACTGAGACCTCAGGTCCTGTGAGGCGACTGAAGGCCAGGGTGGACACTTCTTCTATTCCACATGCTAATTCAGTGCCTTTGAATCAGGAAGTGATGGGTTGTGTGACTCTGGGGAACCACGAGCATACAGTATAAGCCAGAACAAAAAAAATAATAAAAAATCTCAGGGCGCGACTATTCCTCGACACAAAGGGCTACACTGTTGAGGTCACACTTGTCATGTGGAATTAAACAATGGCCCAGTGCAGCTACTCCACAAAGCACTCACACCAAAAGCCAGCCATTTACTTCTGGTTCCCTTCTGGTCACTGAGTAAAGGAACATTTCTGGTAATGTGGTGGTTACACAATCGCAGTGTGAAACAATGACAGGAATTTACTATTAAATCCATGTCTACAGCTCCATCTCACAATGTCATAGGGCAGTATTTCCCAAAAAGGAAGCAATAAGATTCTGTATTGACAAGATCTAAATATATTCCTGACTTTCTAAAGTCAGCATTAGCATTCATTTATCATTTGTTTCTAGCCAGCTTCATAGTCATTTTTCATTCTTGTTTCTTTTGCATTTTAACTTTGTTTAGAGAGAAATATCTGGCTCTTTAGCTGCTAAACACTCTGCTAGGTTCACCAGTCATTAACTTTGTCTGCCTGGTCACATTACAATTAGTCATTTCAACAAGTATTGATGTAAAAAACGGATTAGTGTAGCTTTAAAGGACTATTCTGGAATTTTGGAAATATGCTAGTTTCTTGCTGTACTGGATGTCAGAAGGGAAGACGTGCTTAGCTTTGCAAAAACAATGGAACCAGGTGAAAACTGTTCACCTCTATCTATCCAAGGTCTTTCAAAAGCACTTCTTGCTTAATGAGCACATTACCGGTAATACAAAAGTGGTTGTAGCATTAGCTTACAGTAGCTTTAGAAGAGCTGGAACCATGTGTTGTATGCAGAAGCTCAGACGTCTAGTGCTTATTGTGGGGTGGTTGTTGTAACCGAACAAACTAAAACCAGACATGTCTTGCATCGGATAAAGTGATCATTGACAAATACAAGAGTGACAAAGCTGAACATCTATAACTCCAGTCAAACGTAGATCCAGTTTTAGTATACTTTTAGCTCTGGTTTGGCCTCCACTGAGAGGCTCTGTAAAACTGAGGGGAACTAGGGTCAGGTAATAATTCTTTGTGGGTTTGTCAGTACAAGCAACCACTTTCACATTATACACAGTGCCGCTTTGAATGTGATGAAAACATAATTACATACTTGTGAAAGTCCTCGATGCAGTGGATGTGGTTGGAAGCATCCACAGTGAAAGGGATGCCGTCCAGACTGCGGTGGCACACCACGCAAGTGAAGCAGTGAGGGTGGTAGGCTTTCCCTGTGGCTCGCAGGATGCGCTCCATGATGGGCTTACTGCAGATGGTGCAGGTCTCCAGGGTGTTCTGCAGACACAAACACACAAGCCCCCAGACACCCACATGGTTACACAACAAACCTGGTGATGAATGCAGTGATTCTGATGATTCATATTCAGTGGACCTTTAAATGCTTGTTTACAATCAGCACTCATTTCTAACTAATTTGAACCAGTAGGAATAATTTCAAAACATTTCTCTGTATTTCCCCCAGTCTGGGCTTTGTAATTTTAAACTTTCTGCTGCCAGCGTCACACTTTATGTGGCTCTGCTCCCACTTGTGTAACAAATAATCCTCACTCAGGTTCTTTAGCTGGGCTGTTCTCAATTGCCTCTGAAGCTGAAGGAATCTGATTAGCACTCCCATCGAAACACAAACAGAGCCATTTTTCAGCTGCCCTCACCCACACTCCATCCTCCCATATGCAACAGTGTGAGCAGTAAATATTTCCATTTTGTGATGACTGCAGGTTTTCTGCAGCCAGGCGACTGGGCCTGCGGCCCGCGGGGGGAACGTGACAGCCGCCTGCCTCAGACTTATTTGTGGCATCTCTCTTCCTAATATCTGCCGGGAGACACCATTTGTTATTTCAATATGTCATAAATAACGAGCGCCTCTCTAAACAGCAATGCAATTACGGAGGGATGGATATATCATGTGGGGTGATCAATGTGCAGCCTGATGTGGCTGTGTGAGAGCTGATGGGCCTCGCTGTCATTGCTTCTCACTCAGGCATTTCCTGGATCTCTGTGCGTCTCTGTTCATCCCCTCTTTCTGTGCTTGGCTGGGCTAAAGAGTGCACGGTTCAGCTGTTCCCAACGGCTCCCGCTGTAGTAGCAGGCTGCCTCGGTGTTTCCAAACACAGCTCTGGGTATGTAGCAACACTGCGCTGCGTCATCAGCTGCCTCCCAGACACACCGCCGGACCCTGCCGTTTAAAATGACATCTCTGTGACCACTTTTCCGAGGTAAACTCCCAAGCATCCCCTGTCCGGATGCGGAGCATGTGCAGTGACATTTGTAGTCTATATGCTAATGAATGCTGCAGCTGGATGGAGGAGGTGCATTGAAACCACAGTGTAAAACTGATTCTGTGTGATGTCTGACTTTTGCTTCTCAGGCCTCGACACTACATGATCCTGTGCCACTGGAAGGTAGGAGAGCACGAGATGAGAGCAGCTGATGTATGACTCGAGGCTGGGCTGGAATGAAGTGTTTGAAAAAGGGCCAATTCTTCAAAGCACTCCTGGAGAGGCGTTATTTCATGAAAAGCAATGTGTGCAGACAAGCGCTGCATCCTTATCCCCCCACCCCCGACTTCAAGACGGTAACAGAAATAAACATTATTCCCTGGGCAACATTTGTGTATAAACAATGTCCATATTGCAATCCTGCTCGATCCTAGAAGTGGAAGCCTTTAATGAGCTCCCTACACTGAGCCCTTGAGGTTTTCTCACACATGCACACAGACACAGAGAGAGGTTGAGGTAGAGATGGAGAGAGCGAGAGACAGACTATATTTGCAACCTGAGAAATTAACATGGTGCGGCCAAACAACACTAAACCATCAACGCATCTGTCTGCATTCCCACTTACTTATTCTCATCTCACTTCATGTGGGAATACCTTGCCCTTGTTTAGCTTAACTAGAGCATATGATTTCACAGCACACAGTTCCTCCGGGCCATTGTAATGAGTACAGTACTCAAAAGACAAAATTTCTCTCTGATAAGATTCTATGACCTCAATTCATTCATTCTGCTCAATCTGTTTTTTATTCACTTGTGACTCCTTTTATTTGGTATTAGGTATAATTAATTAGCCCTGTTACACAAACCAGGGCCTGATGTCAAAACAGAAAATGTACATGAAGTTTGGTCTGTGGTTGGGCACAACTTCCAGATGGTTTAGGAGATTCTGTGGGAATCACTCATGCCCTCTCTGTCAGACATCCAGGCCCTGCACAGTTTGCCACTAGAGGGCTGTATATGTCTGCAGATGTCCGAGTTTTGCTTTCTTCTCACTAAATGTGATGTATTCAAGCATATGTATTCTTTTTTTCTCTCCTTCTCCCTCATACATTTCTCTAAGTGTTTGCCCAGAAGGCTAAACAAATGTCTAGGCAGATGAGCTAAAGTGAATTTAGGTCAGACAGCCTCTTGCTGAACTGAGGGGTGAGTAGAGTGCGTTAAAGTCAATTGTGGCCTCTTTTTTGTCTTATTGTAATCTGCTTGCTCTTGTTACAAAGTGCTCTCATGGCTTCATACCAAACGCACTGATGCCCACACAGCTTCACCACTATTTAGCAGTCCTCCTGAACAACGTTTGACACAGCTGTCTGTTAGAATGAGCAGTGTGATGGCAAACGAAGCATGTAACAGGGAGTTAAGAGGCCCCATGTGCTCTGCTCTGAACATTAGACGGGTCTGACAGACTGAGACAGAAACAGATAGCCACTAATGTCAAAAACCCACTACCAACTATAACAGTGAATCTTAGAACATTTTTGTTTAAAACCTGTTAATAGAGTGAAATAATTGGACTCCTTTTCACTGTACATCAGCATGGCAGGTGACAGTGCCTTTAGACTTAAGAACAGTTTTCTAATCTGATACTGAAGTTTAAGACCTGGGACTACTATAACTAATGATCATCTGCAGATGGCTTCCTCAATTAATCGATGAATCATTCTAGAAAACACCAGTAAATTGTGAAAAAATGCCTATAATTTCCCAGAAACCCAGAAGTCATCTTCAATTAACTAACACCCCCAAACCCAAGAATATTCAGTTTACTGCCATGTAAGGCACCAGATCCTCAGTGAGGAACCTGGAACCATCAATGTTTGACACCTTTGCTTGAAAACTGACTTAAAATTAAATGGGTAAAATGGACACAAACTACGGGGTCACAGATTCAAATGCCAGTGCTTTTTCCTTCTGTATCAAACATTACACATAACTGAGTCTATAGTGTGTAATCTTCAATGGGTAAAACAATGCTGGAATAAAAAAATGTGTATTCCATGTTTGCAAAAAGAGCAAAGAGTTGAAAATCTGCAGCAGTGCATCACTAAATTTAAGTAACTTACCATAAATTTTATACCTATCTACTTTTTTTTCTCCTGTAGCTGAGCGGTTTGAGCTCGTTGTGACTGAATGCAATTTATGACCTGGCGCGCTGAACTTGGAATGGGTCAGATTTACAGATCATCTGATTCTGCATGTGTGTGTGTCCAGACACACACAACCTGCTGCTCGGCATCTGGCTGTGCTGTGTGAATTTGCACCCTAGTGAATGTAGCTCAGCGATATCTAGTGAGAGCTTGTTCGAAAGACAGAGCTGAGTGCTGCTGTTGCTGTGTTTGGTTGGTTTTCTCTGCAGCGAATAAGAGACACTGACTTGGTCGTGAACTATGAGTCAAATCACTGACCCTCCTACTTCCTGAGGGAAGGTGCCTGTTGACTTAATGAACCTTGACAAGCAGCTCCTCTCCCTTTTATTGCTTAATGTAGGTCAATCATGCAGCACATAGAGAAATCATTTTTGCTAAGAAATGCGTAATGATGTGGTCAGGTGTCTTATTTTTCAACATGAAAGTGCTAAAAAAAATTAGAGAAACTGAGAACATGGGAAATAAGAAAGAAAAATGAACTGCTGCCTGTCTCATCGTGAGATCGTGCTATAGAGAGTCAAAAAGTTACAAACTGCAAAGAGTCTAAACTATGGATTTTAAAAAATTTGGCTCAAATTTTGGGAAATATGTTTATGTGATTTCTCACCCCATTCAGATACACCAAAAAAAGCCTCGCCTTCCTTGAGCTTCTGTATTTTTGGGCTGCTATTTTCCTACCACTGCAAATAGCAGCCTCCAACATAATATTTGGCCCCCACAAGTTTTTCCCTTTTGTTTGCATCAAAACTTGCAATTTTCTGTAAATAACATAAACAGATCTGCAAAACATGGGCATGTACGTTAGCAACAAAAATAAGCAATGATTTGCCGCAGAACCACAATATGCAGCAGGTCAGTAGACACTGCGTGCTGATAAAAACAGATCTCGGTTTATTGAGTACGAATAAAAGCATACATACACCCCACTCTCGTGAACGCGACAACTCGGGAAGGCTTTGAGGAAATTTCTTCAAATTTGGAACTTGAGGATGAACATTCTGCTGTTCAAAGGTCAAAGTATCCTCACATCTGTCCCATTGCAGGTGAATTTGGCAGAGGCATACAAATGTACAGCAGTAATTCTAGTTAAAACTCTGCAATAGATTTATCAGCATAAATCAGACCCCAGTTATACAAAGGGTCATTTGAGGGAGCTTGTGAAGCTGGAGTCTGAGCATGTTAACTAACAAATTCACAGTGATGACAAGACACACAAGTAAAACCGCAATTAGTTGCTCTCCTTACAGAACGTGATGTAGCATGTTAATTTGCTCTTAACCATCATTATGATGGCTTAAATACATTAGAGATAGCCTCCACTTATGTCTTTACAAAATCATCCCATTTAATGTACCAACTCCACATACTAGGGATGAATTCCTCCACACCAAAAAACAAATGCAAAGGTCCAAACCAGAAAATCTTTCAACAGTTTTCTGTTTGTATTTTTGTATCCCTTCTGTTACTGTCATGGGGAAGAAGCAGAGTTGCCTCACTTGCAGCCGACCTACCACCAGCTTCTGTTCATGCGTATTAAACAGATCTGGCAAAACTGTTGCTCCTGTTCGAATCCTAATTCTGGATTAATTAATTAATTGAGTAATTGAGAGGTTTTGGGAGCTACTATGAGTAAACTGTAAAACCTTCTGACAATGCCAAAATCACAGTGGAGATGGCCAGTGGAAAACACCAGAAATCTGCTTTGGATGAGGGAGGTCGGGAGCTCATTTAAATCTTCAAACATTTGACGAGGGACTGTGGTAGCACTGCTCTTCCCCGATCTGTGGTCTGCTCAGAGGTGGAGAGGTCTGTGTGTGGAGAACTGAGTTTCCTCTGAGCTGGTTGAGTTCAG